ACTTCCTTTGGAGTCGAACAATCAACGTCTTATTAAAGGCCCTCCCAGCAAGAGGATTCAGTCTTGGCATTCTTCTTTGTCTCAGTGATGCATTCCTGTCAGAACCTCTGTCCTCCTCCTGTCACAGAAGCCCAGGCTAGAATATCAGGGGAGAATATCACTCAGCTTTTCCAGGATAGGGGAACCTAGCCATATTTTAGCCAAGCCACTTCAGTTGGCTTTAGTTCTCTTCTGAGTCAGCCTCCTTTTGTAGTAAGAGGGAAACCGAGCCACCAGGACCCTCTAGGAGCTACCCAAGGTGCTATTTTCCTTTTGTGTAGGCATACTTACCCTGATACTGGAAGTAATATATAGCCATAATGACCATTCCCCATTGATAGCATCATTTTCCATGGATTTGTATAATCCACTTTTTAAAATGTCCACATTTCTGGCCATCACTACATCATGTATTAAACAATTCCATTGTTTAATTTGTGTTTGTATTAGCAAATTCCATTGTGTGCTTGGCACATTTTTTTAAAAAAAATCTGTATTTAATCTCCTATTATTCAACTTCATCAGATGACCTCAGGGTGCTTCTAGTTTAAGAAAAATGTTTTTCTATCCAGTTGATCTATGTTATGCATATTTTTATGCAGCTGTTTTAATCCCCGTTGCTTAGAAGCAATGGTAGGGTATGGCTGTTTGACTTCATACTCTACTGGTGCGCTTCCAATTTCTCAGAGTGATCAACCATATTCTTCCATTATTCATGGAAGAATGTGGTTGGCCACTGTCAGAAATGGGATGCTGGATGAAGCAGGTTCTGCTCTGGTAGGGCTCACCTTGCATTTTTCTGTACTTAAAACAATGTTGAGCCATGAACTTGCATAGATGGTGGCTGGATTCACCCGTCATGACAAGCAACCTGCCTGGTTTCCACAGTTCTGCTGTTTTTTGTCTGGATGTCCCTGCAGATGATCAAATGGTTTCTACATTAGCATGGTTTCAACCCTCCTCACTTAGTCCTCCTGCTGTTGGCACATATTCCATCATTCACTGCATCTGAAATTCAATAGCATGCTGGAGCAGGTCCTACAGCCACCACTCTTTCCATGCAACTTTCCTTGTTGCATACCAGGACCATGGGAACCATGAGGCTGGGTTTGGATGACCAGAGACACCATGGTGGAACATGGAAACCATAGAACTGACCATTGTTTCTCATTGTAGTTTCTAAAAACCAAATGCCCCATGCCAAATACCGTGTCAGAGTTTGAATGATGGAACAGACCGTCCTGCACAAGAAACCACTGTGGCTTGTCAAGTCATGTGAACCAATATAATTAGACACCAGGTGGCACTGCAATGTTTTGGGGTCAGTGTTTTCATTTCTGTTTTCTTCTTGGTAGAGAGAAACAATAAAAGTCTTGTCTGACTTGATGACTACAGCAGGCTTGTAGAGGTGGATGGTATTTTGACTGTAAGTGCAAAAATGTTCTGTTTTTCTTTCCTTTATATCCATATCCTGTTCACTGTCTTTGAAAAACTGTGGGTAATGCACATCCCTGTTCATTGCATTAGGCATGAAAAAGTCAACAGTTCTTAAAGATTTCAATCACTTGCATACAGAACAAGATAATGAATTGTCTTATGAAACAATGTCAATTGTGTTTCCCCAGAGAAGGCTTACAAGGTAGCAGAAAAATAATAAATTGATGGTGCTGATAAAGGCAGCAATATCACCTTACTAATATGTGTTTGAAGTGTTATTTTCAAGGAAGAAGAATGGAATGCAAGTGCAGTTAATTAATCTGACTCTAATAGCCTAAGCCAGATACTGAAGCAGCCCAACAATAAAACGTCTACAGACTGAATACACAGAGCTTGGGATGTGGCCAGAAGGGGTCAATCAGGTTTCAAGAGGAAAGCAGAAAGAATATGGTTGTATGTGGTTGAGATCCATACACAGATTCTCATAACAGAATATATGTTTTCAAAGTGGATTCACTTATTCACCATGTAACCAGGTGAAGTCTCACATCCTCCAATATGATTATGCAAATAGCTGCCAACTATGCCTTTCTCCTTTTTTAAAGTAAGGCAAGCAGGTCCTAATGTAAGAGAATACATAGATACAACTATGATAAAAAAGGGCAATTGTCAGACACGTGTGAATATTCAGCCTCCTGACCTCAAAGTTCCTATATGTAATAAATAAAAAATTACAGGCATTGATTAATTACAGGCTTTTGTATCTTTCTATTTGTGGTCCAACCCTGTTGTGCCAACAGATTGCATGGCTCTTTCGATCATGTGAAGATAAAAAACTCAGTTCAGACCTTCCTGAGTATATGCGAGTTTTAGATGTGTGTGCTGGTGAATACCAGCAAAATGACAGCATCTCTATTTTGACTTATTCTACAGTGCTCAACATGTGATTTATTTATTATGGCATCTTCTGCACTGTAGTGTTCCCAGGGTAGCTTATATTAAAATAAACATGTTATCTCAGACATAGCAAGTCACTATCTCCTGCTGCTTTTCTTCAGAGCATTCTTGATTAAAGAATAAGATCTTCTCCATTAGATGAAAAGCAAAATGAACAACTCCTTTCATCTCAGTTACCATGGCAGTCTTGCCCCAGACATCCTCCAGCCCGATATTTTAAATCTTCTCCATTGCCAGTATATTTAGTGTGATTTAATCTGAGCAAATGTCAGTAATATGATCATTTGTTAGAACTGCCTTCTCCATTTCATAGCCCCCAGATGTATTGGGCTGAAACTCCCATCATCCCCACTCAACCCTGGAATTGTACTCCCACACATCTAGAATGTCTCAGGTTAGAGAAGGAGTAAAGGGAAGCTGCCATTCCAAAAAGCAGGGGTTTGATGGATTTCCCAAATCACAAGATAAGGCTAACAAAGCCCAACTTGCCTATATTATTGACAAAACAAATACTATCCATGTGCTCAGGACTCTGCATCTTCACCCTCCATCTTCTTTCCCAGCCTTACATGTCTTGGGAGAGTATATCTAGGAAGGCTAGGGAAAATGGAACTAGAAGGGGCCAGCCTTTCATGACACCCCAAATCAGCTGTCTGAGGCAGCCATCTTACTTTGCCTAATGGTAGGACTATCATTACTGGACTATTAAGCCTTGGAAGTGATCAATATTGGTAGGGAAGCTTACTTGCCCAGCCTGCAATTCATCCTTTGGCTTTTCTCTCCATGTAACACACAAGAGACAGAAAACAATGCAAGAAAAAAGGGGTAAATGGTAATTTCTCCTAATGGATGGATGCAAAAGGTGGGATCCCATAGGGATCTGTATTGTGACCAGTGCTTTTCCATTTGTTTGAATGTTATCCAGAATTAGGAATGAACAAAGAGATGGCCAAGTTTGCAGATGGTGCCAAGAGCTCAGAAAGGACCTCTCCAAAGTGGGAGAATGGGCATAGAAATGACAAATGTAGCTCAATGTAAGCAAGTATAAAATGACAGATATTGGGGTAAAACATCTTCACTTTGCTTAGATATCCAAAGGAATGGAACTAATGGTATGGTGGACAGCACAGTGAAAATGTCAACCCAGGATGTGGCTTCTGTGAAAAGGCAAATTCCATGTTAGGCACAATTAGGGAAGGAATCAATAAAACTGCCACTATTTCACTGCATGACCATTGTATAAACAAGTTGCTGGACTAGATGGACCTTTGCTCTGATGCAACATGGCATTTTTATGTTTCTACACATTCAATGTAAGGGCAGGCTTCTTTATTACTGCCAAATATAGAAAACATTATTTTCTGAACAATACATTACACACCACCTCAGCTTATAAGCCTGCACTAAGATTGAAGTGCTGGTAGGCGGTAAGGGAAACTAACAGCATGTTTCTGGACGTGGAACTTACTTCTAAGTAAGGGGGAGAGGATTGCAGGCTCACTCAAAGTGCAGGCCTTTGGCAAATAAGCCGGTCTGCTGAGTTTGGTGCTGCAGTTATTCTTTTACTGTTTATTTTATTATTGTTTGAAGGTTTTACATTATGTTTATGCTTTAGTTCTTATTATTGTTAGCTGCCTTGAGCATAATTTCTTCAGTTGACAGGTGGGATTTAAATCAAAGAAATCATTTCAATGAGAGCAATCCTGTGGTCTCCAGAAAGCATCTGAGGAGCCAGAGAACATAGTCTTTACCTCAGAGTTCAGTGTAAGCCCTAACCCTCCCCAGGTCCTCCAAGCCCAAAGGGGCTCCTGCTCCCATAGTGGGGACTTGGACCTTGGAAAGGCCAGAAATGGAGGCGTTGGATGAAGGCCAGTGGGAACAGCCATGGACCAGCCTCCATACCTAACGCAGTGCAGCATGCGAGTTACATGGGCTTGGAGGCCAGGCTAACAGAAAATGCTTCACTGAAGAATGGACAGACTGAAAATGCCTCTTTCACTTCTCCAAGTGTGCTAGAAGGGCATAGGATGGATGGAGACTTCTGATCTCAGGAACTTCCTTATTTGGGTGTCTAGTCCATAGGATGACACTCTGTGATATATTAGCTTAGGCTACAATCCTACACTCGGTTTCCTGGGAGTAAATCCTCACTGATCTAAATGAAATTAATTTCGAGTAGTTTGGATGGGCCTTTAGCTGATTTAAGATTCCCATCATCTCTTCTTCCATGAAATCACCTACAAACCCTGAAGTGGCTCACCAGAAGGTTGGAGGGATACACTCCTGAAAAATATTGAATGGAACACTGGCAAAAGAGGGCATTTATGTTCACTTATCTTAGGAGGCCAGGCTATATCAGTTGGTATAACACAACAACCCACCCTGACTGGGTTTGCCATGGGTTGTTCACTCCTTTTCACCTGCTCCTTCACCCTTGATCCTCTTGTAGGTATTTCCAGGGACACCACGGCAGGACTCACTTATCTTCCCTTCTGCTGCTGTAATCGTGAGCTCTTTTGCTCTCAACATGACATTTCTGTACCTTAACTATTTTTCCTTTTTTTCAGATATTGCAAGAAGAAATCTCTGATTCGACAGCCATCAATGGCTCCTTGGAAATGCCCAACAACAACAACCACTAGAACAATCTATAAGTAGCCAGCATGGCTTGTTGCTCAGACAAGTCGCCCTGTGGAAAACAGTCTGGGTTTGCACAACATAACCTACAATGGCTTGTCACTCACAAGAGATTGTGGTGTCACATGAGCCCAGCCCTTATCTCTGTCAACATATTCCTAACATAGTGAAATATGTGAAGCAACATTTCAGTTTACTTGAGAGTTATATTTATATTTTGATAACTTGGTAACTTTGATAACTGGCAGCATGAATAAAATAATTTTGCATGATCCTGAGATACTTTGAATATACTAATTAAAAACAGCAGTACAACAACTACAAATCTTGTTTCTTTTTAAGTAGCTGCAGCATTAATAGGTTTAACTGTAATTGCATGGATTGTGGCATATTATAGGGAAAGAAAATGTCATTAATTTGTAATTAATCGGAGGAGGGCAATAGTTTTTCACTTACATCCACGTATGTTTTGAACACCATGTCTCTGTACAAACAAACCTGAATCAGTCATTAGGTCCTGCAATGGTGGCTTCTTAATAAGGGCAGAGTCAGCCCTTCAAAACCCCGTCTAGGGCCCGAATTCTCTCTCTCCCACCAGAGCTCCACCACTCTGCCTAATGCACTCGTGCAGTTCTCACTTTGCTAGAAGTCTGTCTCTTTCTCTCTGGGCCTGCAGCTGCACTTAAATTTCTTCCCCTGCGGGTGGCTGTGGCTTGCCCGGTTCCCTGGAAGTTGCTCATAGAGTGCAATCTGTAGCTAATTACACAATCAACTTTTGGACACTGCCACTAATATTCAAACACAGTTCAGCAAGGCTGAATCCAATCCCTACTTTCCAATGTTGGGGACTGGAGTTGAGCAACTCGCTCCCAAGTCTGGCTCAAGTACATTCGACTCGGACTTGACTTGAGAGCAAGTGAGTGACTCGACTCAGCTCGACTTGACTCAAGATTTTGACTGTTTTTATGACCTAGTCGCTCCAGGGCTTACTGCCTGCATCCAGCGTGTGATAGGTGAGCGCAACAGAAGGCATCTGAGACAGGCTGGAAGGCAGGCATGAACACAGCAGAGGCAGTGGGAGGGAGGGCGTTTCAAGGGGGTGGAGACAGGATGACGGGGAGGGGATTGTCACAGGGGAAGGCAAAGCAAGGCTTCAGATCTTTTTGGCACAAGGAAGGCAGTGGGAGGGGGTTGCAATATAGGGGGAAGTCTTCAGGTCTGTTTGGAGCACTTTGCTCTTCTTGGCAAGAAGCCCAACAGCCTGCTGCCTCTGTTCCTGTGCATTTCCATGAAAGAACAACACCTTAAATAAATCACTGGTGGTGCCTCCAAAAGCGGGGGTGTACCTTGCTATTTATTTATTTGGGATATTTCTAGGACGTCCAATCACTCTGAGTTTTTGGATGGCTCACAACAAAATCAATAAATACAACAGCAAAAGCCATTGCTAAGCCATTGCATCACCTATGCTCATCCAGAATTGGCTGCTTTCAACATCTGTGCAGTTCAGATAGCATTTTTTTCCTGCTAGAGGCCATGATGGAAAGAAGATCCTGAACTTGGGATGAAAACTTGCATTTAGGCATTATTTATCAGGCACATCTCTGTTTAAGTAACTCATGGTTGAAGTCAAGGACTTCAATGCATTACTGAGAGAAGTGCAGGTGGGATTATTGGGGGGGGGGGTGTTTACAACTCTCCCCCCACCATTTTCTGTTAAGGTTGGCTCTTGAGAGTTGACTTGAGACTTGGAGTAAAGGACTCGAACACATCCCTGCTACTTTCCCCCACAGCTTGTAGGAGATTTCAGCTTTTGGAAGAGCTACACAAACATGGGCTTGGCTGACCAACTTGGAGCCAGCCCCATCATTAGGCAAAGTGAAGAAGCCACCTCAGGCAGCAGATGCTGGGTGGTCATAGTCATAGTCCCCCAACCATTCTACCATCTTTGGGTAACAGAGTCATATGTGCTTCTCAGGCAGCCACTAGACTAGGCTGGTCCACTCAGGTGTGATGGAGATCAACATCCTGCTGGCAGCACTGGGATAAGGTCAAGGTGCCAGTCCAGCTGGTTCCTCTATCTGGAATGGAAATGGCAAACATCTTGCCCTCTGCCTCAGGCAGCAACATGCCTTGGCTGGCCTTGGACAGATTAGCCTAGAACCTGTTTCTGTGTAATTAAGTGTTAGTCAAGCCTGTGTGTTTCCTGCATATAAGCTGGATGATCTTCACCTCCTAGGTGAAGCTAGAAATATAAGCTATTTCCTTTTGGTGATGCTCCAGCCATGCCCGTAAAATCTCAAGGATGATTCAGGAAAAAAATAAATGGCACTTCGAAGCTGTGCAGGCTTCCATATCAGATCTTTCAACCATGTATATAGCTGTGTAATAAAGCTAATGATGAGAAAAAGCCTTTTATTTGCTAGCAGTCCATCATGTGAGCTATAGCAGTGGTTTGTGTACCTTGGGTGAATGCCAGGCACTATTCATTTTTGGGTACTTTAGCCAGAGTTTTCATATATTTGTTTTGATTGGCACATCTAGATTTTAAAGTGTTTTTACAAGATAACTTCCCAAATATGTGAGTCTCATGAAAGTAATTTTGGTGATGAACCCTCTGTGGGAATGTTGTATTGAAAACCAATACCTATATGATCTTACCATACATCTCCATGTTTCAAATAGCACCAGCACAGTATTTATACAATGAGAATTTGATAGCAACACAGTATACATAAAGAGGGCCTGGAGTTTATATTGGCTTTGAAATGTTGGCTGTTTCTTTCACTGGTTTCTGTCAGTACCTGGTGTTAGATCATCCTTAGTTTCTACTGCATACTCTAGCTGGGCTCTCCTTATTTCCTTCCTTGGTGCAATGTGAAATGGTATAATGGCTGCAAGTTGGTTCTTATCACAAATATGGCATATTCACACCAAGAACTGGTTTGATATTTATACTTTCTTTTTCTAGAAACTTAAGAGCCCCCTGCCCCTGAGAAGGCCTTGGGATTGCTAAGACCTTTCTTTAGTACTCAAATTATGGTTTTTAATCTTTGTGAGAAACCAGCATAGTTAAACAGATATAAAAACAATATATAGAGATGATGATTAGACACCTCTTTTGGCTACAAATCTAATCTTTGATATTCTGCTTATTACACTTTCATTTACTATATTACTCCTAATAGTACAAAACAAAGGTCACTATACATGCTGCATGGGTTGTATGGAAAGAATGGCAAGGAGGTTACGGTTCAACAGGTCATGTATTGACCTTTCCCTGTGTCCAAAAGCCAGGACAGTTTCTTGGAGCCACAGTAAGGTCTCCTGACCTTCAGTTTGTTAGGAATTGCATGGGAGACCATTGCTTTGAAGCTGCTTCCCTCAGTTATTCCTTAGATAAGAGCTGCTTTGTTATGAGAACAAAACTGTTTGCCTTACTGAAGCAGTTTCACCTTCCTGGCCTCTCAGGATGCTGGGGTTAAGACTCGTGTGCATATTAACAGACTCTGCAGTAGTGGAAGAGACAAGCTTTATGAAATCCATGGCAAAAGGCATTGGTCTTTGTTTCTCAGTCTGGGGAAAGGAATTGACGTATCCTTTGCTCAGGCAACTTTAGAGACCCACAGAGCATCCTCTGGTCTATTCAGGGAAGCAATTTGACTATAGAAAAGGGGACTGTGTGCTTTCTTTTGCTTGTTTATATTCTGCACCAGCTGTAGAGTATTGTTGCTTCCTAACTACCCTCAAATCTAAAGTGAGGTGTCTTGGCTGGACCAGGCCACAGGAATTAAAGTAGTTTACAATATAAATGTTCATGTGTCAGGTCCAGGATATGGGCAGAACAGAGACATCTGCAGCTGGAGCCCCAGGATCAGGGCGATGAAGGTGGATAGAGGTACCAGCAAGCTGCAGGGAACACGTGAAGTCAGATATCAACAAGACATGACAGGACCAGAAATGAAAGCAAAGTCCAGAGCAGGCGAGGATCAAATACTGACAAATTGTGAAAGAACCAGTGGTGAAGAGAAGGTTGGAAACAGGTAAGGATCAAATATCCTCCCCTGCAAAGCATAGTAGGACCAGAGACAAGGCCAGGATCAGGTATCTAGCAAGGCAGAGTCAGACCAGAATCAAGGCAGAACTGAAAACGAGCTCGGGGACACACAACAGCCATCATGAAGGTGGACTTTACAGAGGCAAAGCTGAGCAGCAGGGGGCAGCCTTTACAGAGTCTTCCAGAGCTCCCTGTTGAATTGCATGATTGTCAAGCCTCCAGTCCTTGCATGCACCCACAGCTCCAATCCAGGTCCTGAAGGTGGGGTGAACCATGCTGCTCTTCACAATCACATCACCAGGGGATGCTGAGTCAAGGCTTCTGATCCTGACATCATGAGAACAAAAGACTTGCTTCTGTACTGGCCTACACATAACTTTCAAGACACGTGTTTTATTGTGAATCACCATGCTTCATGGTCATTTCAGGAGATGAAACTTTCATCCTCCAGGACCTCTCCTCTGCTTTCGGAGCATTTTCATGGAGGTACAGACTAGGGAAAATCTGGGATTTGGGGAATGGAGAAATGAAAAGCAAATATAAAAAACAAGGAAGGGAAAACTCTCTCTGGACACTTCTCATGTATTCTGACCCAATCTTAATCCCATAAAGAATCCAAAAGCAGAAACAAGAGAAAAGTGGTGGGTTAAAAGTCCCATCTAGATAATAGTCTAACTGTATAACTGTCACTTTATGGGTAGGAAGTTCTCACACAGGGAGGACTGGAAGAGAAAGGAGCAGAGAGCTGAAGACTAGGGCAGACTGCTCAATAATGTTGTATCAGTGTCTGAAGGTGTCTAATGTGACTAAGGATACAGCTCTACTTCCTGCTTCATACAAGAACAATTGGTTTCCAGGGGCAGGTTCTGGTACAGTACTGGGCTATGGATTTCCTTATTTATTTTTTGTATTTCTATCCTGCCTTTCAAGGAATTCAAGGCGGCTTACACAATTATCCTCTTCCTCTCAGTCTTATCCTCACAACTACAACCCTGTGAGGTAGGTTGGGCCAAGAGTCTGTGACCGGCCCAAACTCACTCAGTGGGCTCCATGGCTGAGAGGGGACTAGAACCCAGATTGCCCGAGTCCCAGTCCCACACTCTTAACCACTACACCACACTGATTCCTTGATGTTGTTTCCTCATGGTTTAGAATCCACATGTTCCCATGCCCACAAATATT